CTGAGTTCTTCCTTTGAAAACGAATACTAATTCCTTTTTTCCCACTCAGAAGACGTCTGTATGTCTCGTAGGAGGTCTAAATGACGATTTAAGCAAGTCACATTTTGGAGCAATGGCCAAAACGCAAAGTTTAATGCGTTAGCCATAAAGTGGTAATTAATGTTGTTATTCGAGCTATAGAACGAGAAGAGAAAACTGTATAGGTCTGCAGAGGATATGAGCTTGTGTAAACCTGACTCAGTGGCACATGTAGTTATTCTGACCAGCGGTAGCGAAGGCTGACTGATATATTTAGCCTGGATTTCATTTGACGAAATATCTTCTTAATCTTTGAATTTTTGATATTGTAATGTAGTTATTGAAATGCTGTTACCTGTGCTGCAAGATCTGTGTAGAATTTGCAGGTACAGAGAGTGATTCTATGGTACTGATCATGCGATCGACAGACGTACGAATTATATACTTGTTGGTCACGGCGCAGTCCTTATGAGCTAGATGCAACGTTTGTGGTTTTAAACGCTTGATTACTAAAAGTACCACCCTTGCTAGTTTGCTTTTTTGACTTCTGGTTCACTTTAGAACTTTCGGTACTCGCCTACATGCGAATCTGGACAAGATTGTCTGAATAGCGACCATATCGCTATTAAATCTTCGCTTTACAGACTAAATGATGGTAAAGTAAAATAAATTAAGTTTGAAAGCTGCATACGGTGGTTTTAAAGCAAAATCGTTAAACCAGTGATACGCTGCAAAATGTCACTTGAAAGACTAAAAAGATTTCCAGCTGATTTATTCAGTGGACATTTCGGTTGATTAAGGTAATGATCTTCAGGCTCTTTTTCGAAGAGATTAAGATATGTGAAATTTATCTCCTATTCGTTCTATGGTTACGATTTAAAAATGGGAGATGCCATGGGTTGAAAAGAAGGAGCTGGACTTCTGACTGATCGATGGATTGATTCTAGTAGTTCATAATTCTTGTTTAGAACCATCTGATTGACGGCGTGATAAGTCTCGACCCCTCGACTCTGAGCCACGCGTCAGACGATCAACTGTATCTTTTGACGTTTGTTTTTACATCCGGTTCATCGCGGTTGAGGGCGTTGTCAGCGCATGAGGTAAGGACACATTTTTGTTCTGAAACTAACTGCTGTGTACGTCACTGTTCGAAAATGTTCGTTTGGTTTTGCTGTGACCTTCGTTCGTTGTGCGAAACTGCTAGATCTTCTAGAGGGAAGGATAGTGGAGCCAGTCATCCCATCGAACTGAGAATTGTTTTCTGTTGTAGATGCGTTTTTCACCCATCGCCTTCTCGATCTTTATATTAGTTTCTGAGTTGAGGGAACAGCTGTTCCCTCGTTCTAAGTGCATTCGTTTTTGTTTGATGGTTACGGCTGGCAGAGAGCGATGAACGGGTTCTGATTGCCGACTTTCGCAGCCTGCCTCAGTCCCTCCAACAGCCTGCGCGGCGTTTGGTAACCCGGACGACCACCGAGCCAGTATACATGCAGTGTTAAGTAAACTTTGTAGGTTTCACTTAAATTTTTTGATAAGGGATAATTAAGTAAGGCTTATTAAAACAATTTTACGATGTTGGTATTACAAATTGATTTAAAGTGACTGATTTTGCGGTTTATAATATTATTAACGAATTGAACTGATAAATTTAATATGCTTTATTTTATCTGTAAGAAATTTTTTATTGCAGAGTATCGGAGTTATGTCT